TCCCAGTGACAATTAATGGCCTATTTTTCTGCCCTGGCTATGTAGCTTCTTACCTACCGCAGACAAAGGACAGTGCTACAGGGGTGTTTTGCAAAATCACGAAAAAAATTAGGCTTCAGAAACTTCCCTGGCAGATGGGTTAGGAGCTAGGCTTTACCCAGCCATCATGGGAGGGGAAGCATTAAGGTTGTATGTCACACCTCTGGTATTTCACATCACTCAGGATCTCTGGCTGTCTCCACCTGTGCAGCAGCTCCTGTACCTGCCACATCTCCCCTTTCCAGTCAGCTGTCTTTGCAGCTCCTCCCTGAGCGGGACAACAACAGTGGCTGCTGCTCTGTGACTGTCTGCTGCTCTGTGACCCAGCACCACAAACCTGCTCATCACACTCGTATCTGTCACTAAATACTGTGTGAGTTGATGTCACAGGCACAGAGCGAGTACCAGTCACCACTTCTGCTTGAAGGTGAGGATATCTGGCAAACAAACAAAGCTTCATAAAGTCTTCTGTGGTTGCCAGAGTTGCAGCGCTGTAAAAGGACCTCTCAGAACTCAAGGATCACCCCCAGTCCCCAACCTGTGAATCAGTGATGCACTGCTCATGAATGCAGATTTAGATGTCTTACCTCTACACAAACACACTAGAAAAGTATGTAATACGTAAAAGAGCTGTATGAAGAGGGGCCCAAGCCTCTCATAATATCCCCTGCACAAACTCTGAGTACAAGATCATACCTCGGACTCGATGATCTTAGAGGTCTCTTCCACTCTAAATGACTCTATGATTCTACAAAAAAGCAAGCAGCAGGAACAGATAAGCTCATAATAACAGATATACTATGACGATAAGGGAAAAAAAGTGAAGAGTTAATCTATGCAGCAACTGGGACAGCCTTGGAGGACTGGGAGACCTCTGCAGGCTCCAGAGGGAAGTCCTTTACTGCAGTGAGGACTGACAGGACTGGCTGAAGCCGCTCTCAGTATCTCATAGCATTCATTTAATTTGGATTAAAGCCCTGGAAAGGGATGTCTCCACAGGCTGCAGTGACTATGACCCCTTCAACCACCACAGCAGGTTTTAGCCAACTTCAAAATACATTTTTTGGTCTATTCTGGAGAACAATTACTAGTCACAGATATACATATCTGCAAAACCTACTTTCTTGCTTTTGTGTTTCTCTTTTCAGCTCAGCTCACAGTAGCAGCAAACTTTATGGCAGCCTCTCTTGTAAATACAGAGGGAAGAAATAGCATGGCTACCTTGTAAAACCTGCAGAGGAGCTGAACAGGTAAAGAAAACAGGTTAAAAGACTGCATCTTCAGAGCACAGAAGCTTTCCTTCCTCAAAGAAGGTATCCCTGCCTTCAAACATCCCATGCAGAAAGGTTCTTGGAGAGCACACAGCAAGCACTGACAAACCTGGGAAGTGGGCCCATAGGATTCTCATGTGGTTTAACAAGACCAAGTGCAAGGTGCCACACCTGGGTTGGGATACAGGCTGGGGGATGAACAGATCCAGAGTCCTGCAGAGAAGCACTTGGGGGTTCTGGTGGATCAGAGGCTGGACATGAGCCAGCAATGTGCACTTAAAGCCCAGAAAGCCAAGTATGTCCTGAGCTGCATCAAAAGCAGAGTGGGCAGCAGGTCACGGGAGGGGATTCTGCCCCTCTGTGTCCAGCTCTGGGGTCCTCAGCAAGGAAGGACATTGACCTGTTGCAGCAAGTCCAGAGTAGGCCATCAAGATGATTAGAGGGATAGAGCACCTCTCCTATGAGGAAAGGCTAAGAAAATTGGGATTGTTCAGATTGGAAAAGGGAAGGCTTCGGGGTGACCTAAATGCAGCCTTTCAGTACCTGAAGAGAGACAAGAGGTAAGATGGAAAGGAACCATGTACAAGAGCCTGGAGTGACAGGACAAGAGGGAATGGATTCAAACTTAAAGAAAGTTGGTTTAGAATAGATATTAGGACAAAATTCTTCACTGTGAGGGTGGTGAGGCACTGGAATAGGTTGCTCAGAGAAGTTGTGGATGCCCCATCCCTGAAAGTGTTCAAAGCCAGGTTGGATGGAGTTCTGATCAACCTGTTCTAGTTAAAAGATGTCCCTGCTCACGGCAGGGTTGCTGGAACTAGATGATCTTTAAGGTCCCTTCCAACCCAGGCCATTGTATGATTCTATGAAATACCTTGCACCATTGCAAAACACAATTAAAAAAAGTGTGGGCTGAGCACTTTAGAGACTCTGACTGCTACTGGGCCACAGGTAACTAGTGGAAGAGGTTCTTCAGCCACTCTTACTAATTAATTTCCTTTCCTAGCTCGATTCACCTCCGAGGTCCCAGAACTTGACTATACTGAGTTTCTTCTGTAAAAAGCCACTTTGAAGAGACCTACACTGCTGGCAGCACTGCACACAAGAACAGGATTTGTTCTTGGTACAACAGAGAAACTGTGGAAGAGATGGGCTGTAAGATACCTGGCACTCTTGCAGACAGTCTAAAAACAAGCTTTTTCTTCATGGGAATCTGTGAATTTCTGGTTTTTTGAAGAGTGTTAGTATTGCTACACTTCACAAAACTACTTACAGATGCAACTTCTTCACAGCTATAACTCGCTGTTTAACATGAAATCATAATGATAGAGTTTATCACATGCTAACACAGGTTGTTCACTTTTTCTGTATGGAGAAAAAATTCATTGGATTAAGCATTTAAACAGTGTAAGTGGCTGCTGCAGGGCTGGCAATAGTACAATTGAACTCCACTGCTACTGTCAAAGCAGCAGACCTTGGGTAAACACAGCAATGGGGTGACTGAATTCTGGGCACAACCAGGCTTAAGGAATCCTATGCTTAGACCCACCTCCACACAAAGCACATTTCTTGACTTTTCCTTTCAAGGAAGGTTTTCTTATCAAGTTGTTCTCGACACAGGTTTGAAGTCCTGCTATAGACTTGACTCTGGACACAGCAAGGCCCTTTCAGGGCTTCTAGAGGGTTAATGCATCTCTCCCTTAGGTCTGTTGTCTCTAAGCAAAGTGGACGGGAACAACTGAAGTGAAAGGCAGGGTTGAAGGAGGACAACACCGTAGACAACCCAGTTTCTGAAAGTACAGAGACTCTCATCCAGGAGAGGGGAGAGAATGCAGTTTGTGGTCCCTGACTTCAGAAGCAATGGTGTCCCAGCTCTGCAGTTCTGAATAAAATTCCTTTGTTTGTTATCATTTTGCTTCCTTCTATGAACAGTTGCACCAGACTGTCCTGCATCTTTGTGTAAGGGAGACAGCAATGTAATTTGCTTCACCTCAGACAGAGTTGCAATGCATCAGGGAGCACCCCAATGTACTCTTGCAAGTTGCTTGAGCCCTGGACTGACAGAAGGGAGACCACCTTGGTCTCAGATTTTGCTGCTCAGCACCAGCTGGATTGGTGACTTGGTTCTTGTAGGTTGGGGGTCTAGTGGCATTTGAAACAACTCTCACGGAATAAGTACACGAACAGGTCTTTAAATACAAAATGACCTAGGTATTTCTTACTATAAACAGTATAGGTAACAGAACCCCCCTCTTTTTCTGAGGGCTGCATGGGGAAATTGGGCCAAAAATATTAAGCTTAAAACACTATCAGGGGTATGTAAGACCTTTAATAGCTAGATTTTAATGGAGTTTCTGTGGGCATATAAAGGTGTTACATGTTAAATTAAACCTATGAGATGCCCAAGATACAGCTGACAAAAACTAAGAGCTCTGTCTTCAGAGTTCTGGGTGCTTTTCTGTTCTCCATTCCTTCTATGGAAAGGACACAGAACAGAGACCCCACTGTACAAGAAGGAATATATCTCCCTAAACAAAAATAACAGCAGGCATACTTGCCTTTGTCAACCAAGAGCACCCTCTTTGGGATACAGCAACTATGTCGAAATATAACACAATAACCTACGTGTTTGGGTACTTATGTACACTTACATATGGACACATCTCCCCAAACACAAACATTTAGGTACTTGCTTTTCATGCTCCAAAATAGCTGATTTATCTGGAAAACCTAACACAAAAAGCTTGTTTTAACCCTAAACGGATCACCTATTCGTAACTGGAGTCATTCCACCATATGCGTACATGCACAATTTCACAGCCCTTTGAGTTTTAAATTCCTTTGTTAAGCCCTGCCTTTATTTAGATTATAAAAATCTTTGTGGCACTAGCTGCTTTTCTTCTCCACAAGTGCCTAGTCCACTTCTGGCATCTACAAAATAAATCGTGGAGATGGAAACACCGGGTGAGCGTTTCCGAAGCTCTGAGCACACCCTCTTTCAGTGCAGTGCTTGAGAGGAAAAGGAAAAAATATCACTTGCTGAAACACGGCTTCACACAACTCACTGGAGACCTGCCTCAACCTGATAACAACCCTTCCCTACCCCACACAAAGCTAGCAGGGATGCCTTAATATTGACAACCACAAATCGTGTGCTTGAGTTGCTTTAATTGTTTATGGACTGAACAATCATCATTTCCTAAAGAAAGAGAAAAGAGATTTCAAGCCTCACAGTAAAGCTCTGTATGTCCTCTTTTTAATGGCCACCCTTTATGAAAACTGCTCTTGTTTGGATTTGCCATTCTCCCAATAGCTTTAGCATTCAAAATTATTTTTAGTTTGGGAAGACCAGGTAAGAAAATTATCAGAAATACATAACAATAAATCATTTTCCTCAGTCAAACTGAACAAAATAGAAGAAAAAAGTAAAACAAGCTTAGTTTTTCATACCATGAGAGGATCAGAAGTCAAGATTAGTTTAAAAACTGATTCTTAGGCAGGCAAAAAGACAGAGCCACATCAAAGACAAAAGAGCCATACTGATTTCTCTCCTTCTAAGAGTTACCTAAAAGTTGCTTCTTGGGTATTTTGTTTGTGTTTTTTAAGATGGAGGTCCTCTTTCAAGACAAATCTTAAAAACAAATAGGAAACTGGCCATATCAACAGAAACAATAAAGCACTGGCACAAACCTGTGTTTCCTTGGATGTCCTCTCCCTTGGTTAACGCCAGGTAAGAGAGCAGAGTGCAGTTATTGTCCTGACCGGGCGCAGGCGGCTGCTGCAGGGACGTGCCTGTGAAGACCACTCCCCACTTCACATGGCTGATATCGGAGCGTGACCTGTTGTGTCCTGGTTTGAACCTGGAGGCTTCCTCGTTCTGTACCAGGATGTCATTCACTGAGCGAGGCCTGTCCCTCCTCCGCTGGCAGATCCTGAAGATGTTAAAAGCTGTGGTCTCCCCTTCCCCTGCCCAAGCAAGGTTGTCAGCAGTTGTTCCCTTCTGCACCATGTGTTGGTCTTTGGCAGGAAATGCTGTCTGAGCTTTGGTTTCCAAGAGGCCATTTTTGCAGTGATCCCAGATGAGGCTACTTTTGGCTAAGGAGGCGACATTCCTCAGATTCCTGCTCTCTGTTATATGATCAAATACCTCGTGCCCAACCAGCTCAGGGACCTCCTGCACACCATACACCTCAGAGGGCTGCACAATCTTTTCAAGCTTAGTATCAAAACCGTTGAAAAAGTCTTCAGTCACTTCCAAGGCAGGGCTGATGTCATCAACTTCGAGAGCCTCCATATCCTGTGCTGCCGGTGGGCCCGAGGCGCTGTGATGCGTTAAGAGGATACCACATCAATATCGAGAGAAAGAGCTGCTTCACATCTGTCCTTGGCACTGCATTAACTTGGGGGTGGTGGGGCAAATACAATCACCAACCACAGTCCGTGGTGGTAGGAAGTAACCAAATCAACCTGTCTTCAGATGAAAGACCAACATCCACTGATCAAGTGGGCTACGGCCTCTCTATGAATTAAACTCATAGCGATGAAGAGTACCTGTAAAGCAAAGCAAAACATCACATCAGTAAGGGACTTTTCGCAGATAAATATGTTTAATCACATCACTCCTTTGACAGTCACAGTCCCCTTCATTTAATTTCCTCTTTCAACTGGCACCAACATTATTGTGTACGAAGAAACCCTTTGTGGTTTCTGTTGTTCACTGTGTGTGAACTGTGTGTGAACTCTGGAACTGGAACCTGCAGAGAGCAGGATGGGGCACCAGATGACAGGAGACCAAAGTGATACTATTTATTAGCTAAGCTTTACAAAGCTGCATTGAGAGGCAGTACTGACTAAAATCACAAATGCAGCCACCTAGGGAATGCTTCACACAGTTTCCCTTGGGGTTCCAGAAAAAGTTAGGAAATTAAGTGCTACTAAAATAGGCCAACTAGCCTCAAATAGTTTGCCTTTTGTCCTATATTGCTTGCACTACCAATTTTAGGAGACCAAGATGAGTTTTATAGCAGCTACTTTCCCTACCTGTCTGCATTTCCCTACCTGTCTGTGATATTTGCCAAAAAAATCAATTCTATGAGGATGCTGCAGAGCACTGCACATAGTTTTTCTTAGAACATCACTGGGAAGCTAAGTGAAACTATGTGGCAACCTAAGTCTCAAAAAGACTAACAGTAAAACAAAATACACCATATCCTGCACTATTGCAAATCCACAGATCTTTACTTTCAAGCTGTTGACTCACTGGGCAAAACCTAAGAACAGCAAGGAGCTTTAAGACTAGAACTATTGCAGAGCTGCACTGACCCACCTGAGCTCACACCTGTGAGAAGGAAGGATGGGGGGGGTCCATTTCCTGTTGTGCAATAAAGGGGTGTCTCATTGCTGACTTCTTGTCACACCAAGCCTGCTGCCTTCTAACCTCTCCCTCTCGAAGCTCCATCCACAGTGCTGTGGAAGTGCATTGTAGGGATGTTTAAATTGAGGTAATCTGTCAAATATCTGCAAGTCCTTCAGACCTGGAGACTGGGCATTTGTGCTAAAAGGAAAACAGCCCTCGCATCTGCCAGGACAAACCACAGTACCCAGAGCCTGCACATGCAGCCTTAAGTCAGAGTTTTGACCACATCAGCTCAAGTCCTAGAAGCAGCAAAGCTACATTAACTCAGAGCTCTGCCTACATTAATACACTCTTAACAGAACTAATTAGCCTGGGCTGGGCTGATAATTAGCAGCTCATTAGCTTGTGAACGCTGCTGAAGTGCTACCAGGACCCATGAAGATTTACACTCAGCAGGAAAAAACATCTATTAAAGAGCATCAAACACAGATAATACTTCTATTTAAGGTTCTTTTTTTTTTTAATCCAGAATAGTCTATTAGCCCAAATTCTATAAGGAAACCTGTTTAAATAGGCACCCTATCCTGTAGCAAGTCAGAGGAAGGAGGTCAGCAGCCCCCCAAGAAGGGGGCACAGAATCCTGTAGCAGAAACCAACCCCCCATCCCAAATCTCCTCCTGGCTTCCTCCCATCCCTGCTTCTGTTGTGGCCAGCCATGACACAGCTGTGCTCAAAAGTAGCAGCTCACCCTCTTTCTTAACAGATCTGCAGTTCAGTCTACGATCTCCAGAAAGACACTCCAAGTAAAGAACTTTCAAAAGCAATTACTAATCACATACACAACTCTGGAAATGTCAAGCCTTTACACTGAGATCTTTCTCCCCTTAGCTCTTTGCAAGGATTCACTTAGGCTCATAGTGAACCAGGACTAGGATCAGCTTCAACAAGTAAACGTAGAGTAAGACTCTGAAGGTAGAGCCAAAACCACAACCATAGGGCTGAGCAATACAGATCTGGATTTACTTCAAATGAGAACACTATGGGAACAGACTTTTTGCAAAGCTGTGCAACTGTGCCAGTTGACAGCAGCAGGAAATAAAGTCATCCTGGGCACATCTGCATCATCAGCTTAATGCAGTATGGAGATCACTCTTGAAGCTCATTCCTGCCAGCAGCCCCAGAACAGTGTTCTGCTCCCTGGTACAACAGAGTTCCAGGAACAGGCTAAGTCCAGTGTCACATGAGACCTTCTGGAGCAGCAATCACTCCAGAAGGGCTTGTGACATGCCACTGAAGCATTCCGGTGGTAGTAGATACCATGTTGCTCTGTTCTTTATTTTAAATCATTAGGAAAGGTGGAAAGCAAGGGTGAAAAATGACACTTACATTTAACAGGTTCATTTATAAATGCTGGAAGCTCCAAGTGGCTGCATGTTTCTCTGGATCCTGTGAGACTGAAGCTATCCAGCAGCCAAGTATGGCGATGCCAAACTAAACTGACCTCATATCCAGTAGGATGCTGAATCACAAGGTCATGAGAAGATGACAAGCCCCTGCATCACATGGTTCACAAACTGCAGTATTCATACCTTCCAAAGTAGTCTGTTTGCCCTGCTCCACAAAGATGTGAAAGGTGACCTCAATGGTGGCAGGCTCATCCTTCCCTATGCCACCAGAAGAGCTGTGCCAGTAATTCCCACTAGCGCTGGGATTCTGCAATTACATATCCTCCATAAACACAGTTTGGTATTTTCTGACAGAGGCATTCAATAAAAATTTAATTCAGATGTCTGCATGGATTTGGTGCCAAGTGAAAGCAAACTTTGACATGGCAAGGTCCATCAGAATCCCCTCCAGGAGGGAAAGCAGTGAAAACCACTTCCTTCATGTAAAGAGGGAAAAAAGGCAAATATTGGGATAAGTTAAACTCCTTTTAAGTTACTATAAAATGTATTGCCTTATGTATTGTTTCTTGAAACACCTGAGATTACCCAAAGACATTCAATCTAAGGCAGTGAATATGAGAGGAAGAGAGAAGCTATTGAAGACCACCAAAGCTATAGGGAACTATAAGGACAGATTTGTGCTCATCCAGCTCCTGGGAACTTGTCTTACCAAAAAAAGGGTGAAGGAACATGCCACATTGTACTCAGAAAAAACTGCTGGACACAGGGGACTGCAGCAGCTGAAAAACAGCTTTTCTTAATGTTTGCCTAGGACTGATACAGTTTTCATCCATGCATGCAGCAGTCAGATAATTAATGTGCATTTACGAGATAAGTCATTACTGTCACAAGAGGTAAACAGCAAGGATTACTGGTCATGGCACATGAGGCACTGAAGTTCAGTTTAGTCAAGATTACCTTCCTTAGAGAAGCCACACGGACCTAACCTAGGCGACAGCACAGTGTGACACAAAGGAAAATCAGGGATGACAAATGCCAAGGAACATACACTGGAAGAGATCATTTAACTTCCTCATGTGTTTTTCTGGATCCTCATGGGCCAAGGAAAATATCCATGCATGGCAAAATTTAAAAAGCAAAGAAAACGCCAGGGTAGAGAGTAATCTTGTAGGTGATATGTACCACCACAACAGGCACCCGCTGTGCACCCCCAGCTTATGCATCATGTACAGGACTGTTCATTCAAGCTCAGGCAGGAGGGAAAGCTAGAATCAGCGTGTGCTTAGGAACCAGTGACTGAAGAGATCCATTTAGCTCACCAATCCACCCAAAAAGTAAATTTAAAAGAAACACCTTTCAGTTTGGTTTTCTAAGGAAACAGTTTGTGCAACCATCCTGCAATCAGCCAGTTATTCTCCTTCTCTCTCTTTCTTTTGAACTGCACAATAACTTCAACTAGATGTGACAAAGCAGTAGTGTCCTTAAAGATGCAGTTCTTAAACTGCTGTTCAACACTGGACAGGAAACAAGTCCAAAGTTACCCTGCTGCTAACGGAGAAGCAGGCAAAACCCTTCTCCTTTCTAGGAGCCCAGTTCCACCACATGGGTCTCTCTAAATTAGCCATGGCACAAGTGACTAATGAGAGATGGATCTGAAAACACTGGGAAGCAAAGGGGGAAAGCAGGAAGAAAGAACAGGAGGCATCACCCAACTTGATAAGCGATCTTGTTGGTTTTGGTACTCAGAGGACTTCCTCTTCAGTACACAGGTAAGAGAGATGTACAACACAACAGATAAATAGGGACTTCCCCTTTTCTCTTGTATTTAGAAAGAAAATTAGAAAGCAACAATCAATGATGTTCACAAGCAAAGTGTTCTGGAGGAAATGCATAAATGATAGGAGCTCTCAGCAAGCAAAAGATAGCAAAAGACAGGTTATATTAAAAGTTCCCCAAGTCTCATTGGTTCTTAATGACTCTTGGGCTCAAATTCCTGGCAAAGATTCGGGTTTCTGAGAATTTTATCTCAAGAGCTCAAGAGGAGTTTTACAAGTTACCTGTAATCAAACAGAGAGCAGGGGTGCCTCAGCCACCACAGAGCTTGCCCTATTCCCTTCTCAACATCCTGGAACCTGCTGTGGGAACCAGCTCTGCTTATCTCATGCTGCATTACAACTGTGGGCTGAAATGGGCTCCAATGCCAATAAGGAAAACAGAAGGAGAAATTCAATTGGGTAACAACTGGATAGCAGAGCAAATTCAAGCACCTTCAGGGACATTTATTTCTGTTACATCGCAGGCCTGGCCCACTACAGTCCAGTTTATGGTCTGAAGAACAGGTCATCTGAAGAAAAGATGGATGCACAGATGTATTTGAATACAACCCACTGGGGCTGGAGCAGATAGTACCTAATGAGCTTTTCTGCCTGTCAGGCTCAGCAACCTCATACAGTGACCTGAATGTCTTCCAGTGGCACCTTGAAAAATTACAGCTTATTAGTTTTGCCACTACAAGGATTTCTGACTTGTTCTGTAAGTCACATCAGTCAAGTACTGCCCAGAATCTAAAGAGCACACACTTAGGTCAATGACAGTCCTTA